AAATAAATCTTTTCTCCTCGATTGAGGCTGTCGCTTTCCTGGGAATGTTTATAGCCCTCCAAGTTTCTTTCCCTCTTGCCTTATCTCACCATCTTCTTTTCGGCACATTTCGCATGCTCACTACCGGTCGGTTCTCTATCTTTATCTCTATCTTTCCTGTTTCCTGGGTTTTTGGGTGATTGATTTTTGTATTGGGTTTCTTTTTTTGGTATCTGGGGTTTTGTTAATTTTTCCTGATTTGCGAGATCTAGAGAATGTTTTTGTTGATGCTGTTGTGGGTAGAGGATTAATTTTGCTGGGGTTATTTTATAATGGTTTGAGGAATTCTCGAGTTTTTGGATTGAGATTTGATCTGGGGTTTTGTAATTTTTGAAGCGTGTGTGTGTGTGTGTGTGTGTGTGATTGTATCCTGGTTCTGGGGGGTCTAGAGATGAAGATTGAAGATGGGTTGCGGAGTGTTGGTGGGAAGGATGAGGATAAGACAGTGGTTGCTGCTGTTTTGGGGACTCGGGCTTTTAATTACTTGATGTCTTGCTCTGTTTCGAATGAGAATCTGTTTATGGCCGTGAGGAACGAGGCGAATTTGCAGAACAAGCTGTCGGATCTGGTGGAGAGACCCAACGCTTCGAATTTTAGCTGGAACTACGCAATTTTCTGGCAACTTTCCCATTCAAATTCTGGGGACTGGGTTTTGGGATGGGGAGATGGATTGTGTAGAGATCCTAGGGAGGGAGAGGAAACGGAAGCTACACAGATTCTTAGTCTTCGGCTTGAAGACGAGAGCCAACAGAGGATGAAGAAAACAGCACTGCAGAAGCTTCACACGCTGTTTGGAGGCTCTGATGAGGACAATTACGCCCTTGGATTGGACAGAGTCACTGAAACTGAGATGTTTTTTCTTGCTTCCATGTATTTCTCCTTCCCTAGTGGAGAGGGGGGCCCTGGGAAGTGTTTGGCGTCCAGGAAACATATCTGGCTTTTGGATGTGCTCAATTCGCCATCGGAGTATTGTGTGAGATCGTATCTGGCAAAATCCGCCGGGATTCGGACGGTTGTTCTGGTGCCGACCGATGTCGGAGTAGTTGAATTGGGTTCTGTGAGATCTGTGAGTGAGAGCTTAGAGTTAGTGCAGTTGGTTAGATCATTGTTTTCATCCCAACCTTCCCTCAACCGAGTGAGGTCGTCTGCAACAATGTCCATGATGGCTGAAAGAAAAGATGAAAACACCCCATTTGTGAGTTTGGGGATTGCTGAAAGAGGAGGGGGGAATCCTAAGGTTTTTGGGCAGACTTTGAACTCGGGGAACCTGGGTCGATCTCATTTCAGAGAGAAACTGGCGATTAGGAAGATGGATGATAGGACATGGGAAGCATGTGCCAATGGAGGTAGAATTCAGTTTCAAAGCCCTCGAAATGGCCTTCGCAGTCCGAATTTGGCACATGTTCATGGTCTCAAGCAAGGGAACACTACAGAAATTTATGGCTCTCCAACTCCACCAGTAAATAATAATCACGAGCAGCTAGTCAATGGAGTTAGAGATGAATATTGTCTCAATCCCTATCAGTCGCAAAAGCTGGCCCAAATGCAAATTGATTTTTCTGGAGCAACATCGAGGCCTTCTGTGATTAACCGTGTAGGTGCGGATTCGGAGCATTCAGATGTAGAGCCTCAATGCAAAGAAGAGGGGCCTGGCACCGATGAAAGGCGACCTCGCAAACGAGGCAGAAAGCCTGCAAATGGCAGGGAGGAACCACTGAATCATGTTGAGGCAGAGAGGCAGCGCCGTGAAAAGTTGAACCAACGGTTCTATGCTTTACGAGCTGTTGTGCCCAATATCTCGAAAATGGACAAAGCTTCATTGCTGGGAGATGCCATTGCTTACATTAACGAGCTTCAAACAAAAGTGAAGGCCATGGAAGTTGAACGTGAGAAATCCGGGGTCACCTCAAGTGAAGCAAGCCCGTCGGAGGTGAACCCAGAAATTGAAAAGAAAGACCAATTCCTTGATGTCGATATCGACATCGAAGCTGGTCATGACGAAGTGATCGTGAAGGTTAGCTGCCCATTAGAGTCGCATCCTGCATCAAGAGTAATCAAGACAATGAAAGAGGCTCAGATCAACGTTGTTGATTCGAAACTGTGTGAAGCAAATGATACGGTTGTGCACACATTTGTGATAAAGTCTCCGGGGTCGGAGCAGTTGACGAAGGAACAGTTGATAGCTGCATTTTCCCGGGACTCGACTCCGTTACACCCTCCGCTATCAACAGTTGGGTAAGTAGGAGGAGAAGTAGAGTAACATAGTTGCATACATAGATTGATTAGAGTATGGTAGTGAGAAGAGGGGAAGTGGAAAGCTTGTTCTTGTTCAGAAGTTTTGATTACAGCAGCAGGTATTGTCGTTTAGGCAAATAACTATTTATGATTAACCAAGTAGGAGAGCAGAATTTGTGGTGTTTATAGTACACATTGTTATTAGGGTCACTATTTTGTGTCGCAATGAATCTGTAAGTTGGGGAGTTTTTGTTTTGGGTTGGTTATTGAGAATCTCCTGAACTGTGTACGTTGTTTTTAATGTTAACTCCTCAAATTCTTTTGTTCCTTACTCTCTGTGCACCATCAATCAAACACACTCGGTATCGGTATCGGTATCCGTATCGGTAGCTGTTTGGTTGATGTAAATTGTTGTTTGAATTTGGGGTAAAGAAAATTTGAATGACACAGGGGACTGAACGGGTAAAAGGGTAATAAAGCTGGAAAATGAGGACCCAATAGAAAAGGGTGTAGAAGAAGAAGAAAATAAAAGAGAATAATTTAGAAAAAGGAATATGAAAGTCAGTGGTCACAATGGTGGGATGTGATGCATGATAATCACACAAACCATGTGATGCATGTGAATTGCTTTTCATATATATATATATATTATTATTATTCTTCATATTATGAAACTAGCTCATGCAGTGAATGGAGGACAGGTTGACAAATAGCATCGAGTATTAGAGGTTATTGTCTATCATTGTACAGTCCTAAAGACATCCTAAACCTCATGTCTCACCAACCAATTTACCAGCTCCATAGCACGATCTTTGCTTTCTCACAAAACCACCAAATACAAAAAAAAAAAAAACAAAGAACATGAAGAAGAAATCCAAAGAACATGCCACAATTTTCCCGCTATAACACAATCGGTATGATTTAAATTTACAATTACTACTACACTCTCACCCCACAAAACCACACCAATCCCATCTCATGGATTTCATCGCTTTTGCTCTCGCCATTCTCTTGACAGCCCTCCTACGATCTCTGTGCCTCAAATTATTCACCAACCCCACAAATCTCCCTCCCGGCCCCCCTCGCTGGCCCATCGTCGGCAACCTCCTCCAGCTCACTCACCTTCCCCACCGCGACATGGCGGCGCTGTCTCGAAAGTACGGCCCACTTGTCTACCTGAAGCTCGGCAGCGTCGACGCCATCACCACCGACGACCCCACCACTATCCGCGAGATCCTCCTTCAACAGGACGACGTTTTCGCCTCCCGGCCGAGGACTCTCGCCGCCGTGCATCTCGCCTACGGCTGCAATGACGTCGCGTTGGCTCCTTTCGGGCCCAATTGGAAGCGGATGAGGAGGATTTGTATGGAGCATCTTCTTACCAGCAAGCGGCTGGAGTCGTTCTCGACCCATCGGGCCTCGGAGGCCCAACATTTGGTCCGAGATGTTTGGGCCCGAGCCCAGAGTGGAAAGGCTGTGAACTTGAGGGAGGTTTTAGGGGGGTTTTCGATGAACAATGTGACTAGGATGTTGGTCGGGAAGCAGTACTTCGGGGGAGGATCTGCAGGCCCAAGTGAGGCTATGGAGTTTATACACATAACCCATGAGTTGTTTAGGCTGTTGGGGGTGATCTATTTGGGGGATTATTTGCCATTTTGGAGGTGGGTGGATCCTCATGGGTGCGAAGACAAGATGAGGCAAGTGGAGAAGCAAGTGGATGAGTTTCACTCCAAGATCATCCAAGAACATAGGATGGAGAGGAAGAGAAAGGAAGCTCATGGAGAACAAGATGATGATGCAAATATGGATTTTGTCGATGTTTTGTTGTCATTGCCCGGCGAAGACGGGAAGGAACATATGGATGACGCAGAAATCAAAGCCCTGATTCAAGTAAGCTCTTTATAAATGGAAACCCCAAATTTTTAAGTTTTGATTTTCATGGGTTATTTGTATGATTCAGGATATGATTGCGGCAGCGACCGACACATCAGCTGTAACTAACGAATGGGCAATGGCAGAAGTGATCAAACATCCACGTGTTCTTGCAAAGGTCCAAGAAGAGCTTCATACTGTCGTGGGTCCTGATCGATTGGTGTTGGAATCAGATTTGGTTCATCTCAATTACCTACGGTGCGTTGTACGAGAGACTTTTCGCATGCATCCAGCCGGTCCATTTTTAATTCCTCACGAATCACTGCGTGACACCAAAATCCATGGATATGATATCCCTGCAAAGACTCGAATCTTCATCAACACTCATGGATTGGGTCGAAATACGAAAATTTGGGATAACGTGGACGAGTTTAGACCCGAGAGACATTGGGCAACCGATGGGATGATGAATAATAGAGTGGAGATAAGCCATGGAGCTGATTTTAAGATCCTACCATTTAGTGCTGGCAAGCGAAAGTGTCCCGGCGCTCCGCTTGGGGTGACATTAGTGTTGATGGGTTTGGCTCAGTTATTTCACTCTTTTGATTGGGCTCCACCGGAAGGAATGGACCCACGAGACATTGATACCAACGAGGTGTATGGGATGACGATGCCCAAAGCTCATCCCTTAATGGCCATTGCTAGGCCACGCTTGCCTGCTCCCGTGTATCAATCTAAATAAAATGAAGCTTGAAGTTGTTAATATTCCTATTCAAATCCACCTTCTTCAAGTTGTTCAAAATAAAATGAAGATAATGACGAAAAAAAAAAAAAAATTAAAACATATAATTGAGATTTAAAGAGAGAGATTCGATTTAAATTTTGAGATATAAACTCCACGAATAAACTTGGTAACTTATTCGATTTAAATTCGTTTCCGCGCTCACTTTATTGCACCCAGATCCGCTGATCCGCTTCCCGCTCTTTAGATTTTTCCCATTATCATGGTTTATGCTCACACCTTCCTTCTTCCTCCCAATTTTTCCACGATTCATCATTCACTAGTGCCATTGCAGTCCTTCATCCACCTGCACACGCCCTTCATCTTCTCTATTGAATAACAATCTCTTCTCTGTCCACTCTTTTTTAGCAGAATTGCGGTTCAATTCATGGTCTTGCCGGAAACCTTGTTGCCTTCCGATATGGATATGGACTCGCCGGACGCTCTCCGCTGCAAGTGCAGCGACGGTGCTCGGTGGCGGTGCAAGGAGTTGGCTTCGCCTGGGAAATCGTATTGTGAAAGGCACTTGATCCAACTCATGAAGCGAAGTCTGAATAGAGTGCGGAATTCTGGAGACGGAGGTTGCTGTTCTGGCGATGGTAGAGTATCGGCGAACAGGAAGGAGGTGAGAGGTGTGAGATTTGGATCGCAAGGGAAAGAGACTGAGGATGAGCTGGAGCGGAATGGACGTCTGGTGAGGAAGAAGAACAGGAAGCTGTCTAACATTCATTTTAAGGATGTTACAATCTCGAGTGATTCTGGAAAACCTCAATTCACGGCTTCCAAACTGAGCCACGGAAAGAATGGGGCCGATTCTGCGGAAAGGCAAGGGACGTCTACGAAGCGTAAGAGGAATCATGTTGTGGCGAATGGAAAATCGGTCGAGACGGTAAATTCAAAGCTTTATATTAATTTACCCTTTCGTTTTGTTTCTAAAGAATGTTCTACACCTTGTATGAAAGTTGGATGTAGGGTGTTGTTCTATTCAGTTTTGTGATGAAAGATGCTGCTCCATAGTATGGTGATTAGTGAATGATTTTTTGGACTTCAATCAGAGTTCAAATACGCGAAGTTGTGAAAGCCTGTTTCTGGTTTGTTTTGAATGAATAAACTTTCACGTGCAGGCTATGCCAAATAAAAAGAATGGTGGGAGTTTGATGTGTCATCAGTGTCAGAAGAGCGATAGAAGTGGGGTTGTCATTTGTTCGAATTGCCACAGAAAAAGGTTTTGCTATCAGTGTATTGAACGATGGTAAGAATGGCCGATTAATTCTAGCTCGTATCCTCTGCAGCTAGCATGGCTCAAACATAATTTTAGGCTTGTTTGCTTGCTTTTAGCCATTTTTAGATGTTGTCATAATGAGGATGTCAAGAAAAAACTCTTGAAAATGGTATTTTTTATATTTTTAATGAAACAGGTACCCTGACAGAACAAGGGAAGATGTTGAGAATGCATGTCCCTGTTGCCGTGGTCACTGTAATTGCAAGGCTTGCTTAAGAGAGTTTGTTGAGGCAAAACTTTCTCTTAACTTGAAGTTGGGCAGTTGTCTATGTATAATTACCCAATTTCTGTGGTTGTTTTATGCTTAATGTATAATTTTGTATTGACAGTTTGCCCCTAAAGAATTGGATGCAAGTGTGAAAGTAGAGCGATTAAAATTCCTGCTGTATAAGGTTCTGCCCATTCTCAGGCATATTCAAAGGGAACAGAGTTATGAACTTGAGGTTGAATGCAATATAAAGGGTATATTCCTTTAAACAATCTGGTTTTGAGATAATAAAATTCACTTATAGATATTGTTATTAAATGAGCAATCTAATTCTTTGTGGGTTTCAGGTGCTCGATTGAAAGAAGTGGATATAAAAAGAATAAAACTGGATCAAACAGAACGCATGTATTGGTATATTTTCAAACTTATTATTGTTATTACTTTATTACCACGATCACTTGAATCTAAATACCACGATCACTCATAAGTTCTATTACCTATTAATTAATATTATTCATTACATTTCTACTTATGAACTTGAAGCCCGAAGACCCATTGGATTTGTCCTAGTTGTAATGGGATCAAAATCCATTGTCAACCTCGTTGGGTTGGGTGATGTTCCAAGTGTCCAACTGAATTGACGGATGAGTGGTGATGTTCCAGTTTTAACTCTTAACTCCCAAACAAACACATACACACATAAATGTACGTGGATACAAGTTGGAATTTCGAATGTTTATAAATTGTGTATATACTAGTTGTCAACATTTGTCTTTATTGCATTTATCCTTTTTCTTTACGGTTTAACGAGTCATTCTCCTATATAAGAAGACATGCACATATTTGTATGTAACAAAATATTCTCATTTTCTCGAACTTAAGAATATACAATTTTTGAAAATGCATCCATACATTCTAGAAAATGCATACTCTCTCTTCCCCCCTGAAAAACATGCTTTTATTTGACAGCGACAGTTGCAACACTTCGATCTTCAATTTTTACAGAAGCTGCTTCAACCCAAACTGTTCTTACGATCTCTGTCTTAGCTGCTGTAAGGAGCTGAGGGAAAGTTTCCATTCTGAAGGTAGCAAAATAAATATTTATTTCGAACTATTTAGAAATAAATTGTCTAGCCAACTCATGTGCATCAATGTGCTGGCAGGAAGAGAGTATCAGTTGACATCCACATCTAAGACTTCTGTAGGTGGCACGTCGTCAAGTTTCCAGGTTTGGAGTGCCAATCCTGATGGTAGTATACCGTGTCCTCCAAAACAATGTGGGGGTTGTGGAATTGCAAATTTGGAGTTGAGACGTTCCCTTAAAGCTGATTGGGCTACAAAGTTAATAGAAGGAGCAGAGGGGTTTACAAGTGATTACAAAGTACCTGATAGTTGTTCTTCTGAAGTCTGTTCGTCATGCTGTTTTAACAAAAATGAAGTCAGACCAGCAGCTTTCAGGGAAAATAGTCACGACAACTTCTTATACTCCCCAAATGCTGATGATGTAATGGATGATGGTGTTAACCATTTTCAAAGGCACTGGATGAAGGGTGAACCTGTTATTGTCAGAAATGTTCTTGACAAGACATCCGGTCTTAGTTGGGAGCCTATGGTTATGTGGAGAGCTTTTAGACAAACAGGTGCAAATGCCAAGTTCAAAGAGGAGACATGCAGTGTGAAGGCCATTGATTGCTTTGATTGGTGTGAGGTTAGTTAATTGCATTGAAGTTATAATGGTACTTGAAACGCCGAATAATTTTAATATATCCTTCCAAGTCCTTGTAGTATATGTTATTGACATGTAATTTTCTGTAGGTAGTGATAAATATCCACCAGTTTTTTGTCGGTTACTTAGAAGGCCGTATGCACAGAAATGGATGGCCAGAAATGTTGAAACTGAAGGATTGGCCTTCATCAACTTCATTTGAGGAGCGGTTGCCTAGGCATTGTGCCGAATTTATTGCAGCACTTCCTTACAGCGAATATACCCACCCAAAATATGGCCTTCTGAATCTTGCTACCAAACTTCCTGAAGGCTCACTGAAGCCTGATATGGGACCCAAAACTTATATTGCATATGGATTACAGGAGGAGCTGAGCAGAGGCGACTCTGTAACAAAGCTTCACTGCGATATGTCTGATGCGGTAATTCTTTAGTCCTTCCATTCCACATATCGTTTTTCCACCTTCATATAGAAATTTTTTTCTGCCTATTTTGTTGATAAGCCACGTAACCGCGCACACAAAAAAATAAAAAGGAAACAAACTCATTTTGTGCATAACGAGTGGTACAGGTGGATTTATGCAGCCCTTAGCTTCTTGTTGTTTTATTTCATCTTGTACCCTTTCTTGAAATTAGTTTATTTTGTTAAAATAAACATTAAGTATATGGGCGATCTACTGAGTTCCAGAAACCTAGAATTTTAGTTTATCAAGGTACGTGAAAAAAGGGTGAAATCCTTTAAATCCGTGCTTCCTCTGAACTCTTGATTACCTATCATTATACTGTAATCTGAAAAACTTCTGATATGTAATTAAGTGATTGTTGACTAATTAATACACGAACACGAGTTGTTTAGCAAACATCTTATTATTTTTGAGCTTGCCAGTCAGATTATAAATTGAAGCGTTTAATCTAGTTGTATGTTTTTTGCCTGCACGAGAGAGTATCATACTGCATCTCCAAGCATATCATTCTCTGCTGATAATGATTGTTATTGCATCTAATCTTTTTGCTCAGCATTGCTTATCGTGACAATAACTTTGGTAAAGGTAAATGTACTGACTCATACAAATAAAGTTAATATTAAGCGTTGGCAACGAGATTTCATTGAAAAGAGGCAAAAACGTTTTGCTGCTGAAGATCGTTCTGAACTCTATGGTGGAATAAAAAGCACATTTGATGATACAAAAAAGGATTCTGAATGTGAACAAAATAAGGTTGCAGATCAGAAATCATGCTTGGCGGGTTTGTTTGCAACTATTAGAAAACGAGTTACAAAACCTGTCAAATGTGCCAATAAGGATCCATTACTGATTCAAAAACCAAGAGGAGAATCAAAGTCCCAGAGCAGAAAACAATTTGACGAACATGAGTATAGCTCTTCCAAATTAACCAGTGTTACTATCAGAAATTCATCTGTAGGCACGTTCAGTACCGGTGCTTTGGCTAATATCTTTTGTCCAAATGGACCTAAGACTGCTCATAAAGTAGCTATTGCATGCACTCCCAGTCAGCAATGTGGCCAATCTTCTAATGATACAAGTAAATTCTTTAATGAAAAATGTGATTCAGAAAAAGCCTCAGGGCGCAATGAAGTTAATGATCCAACATCAAAAGATTCAATTTCGGATGGGGCAGATAGTCATTTAGAAAAGAACGAAAAAATGGAGGTTGCCACGGGTGGAGCTGTTTGGGACATTTTCCGTAGGCAGGATGTTCCCAAGTTACTCAAGTACTTGGACAAGCACCAGAAGGAATTTCGTCATATGAAGTGTAAACCTGTAAATTCTGTAAGTACTTGCTCTGCTTAGTGTTAGCTTCATAAAATGCTCTGTTCAGGTGATCGATTGCATCCATTCTGTGCTTTTTACAGCTTGTTCATCCAATTCATGATCAGACCGTTTTCTTTAATGCAAAACACAAGAAGCAGCTGAAGGAGGAGTTTGGTAACTGTTCTTTCCTTATCCCACTGCTCTGCCTATACTTATAGTTATTTTAATTTCTAGATCTATATGTAGGTGTTGAACCCTGGACATTTGAGCAGTTCATTGGTGAGGCAGTTTTCATTCCGGCAGGATGCCCTCATCAAGTGCGAAATAGACAAGTATTGACAAGCTACCATCTATTTAGATTCTAACCAATATTTTGTAGTGGTGTAATTTTGCTTGATAGTTGATTGAACTGAGTGAACAAGGCAATCACAAAAGTTGGAATGAATAGGGAGATTGGAGTTGTCTGGATATGTCTTAGAACTTTGGTCATTCGTTTGGATATCCAGTTATATTTGCTAGAATCTCATATTTTGGTTTCCTTTAATTATATTTTCAAGTTTTATTTAATTCTACATGTTTTCAACTACTTCAGTCATGCATAAAAGTGGCTATGGACTTTGTATCCCCGGAAAATGTGGAAGAATGCTTTCGATTAACTGAGGAGTTCCGTTTCCTCCCAAAAAACCATAGAGCTAAGGAAGACAAATTGGAGGTACCTTTATTTTCCACTACTTAATTTCCCGGTTTTTATAATTTAGTTGTATCTTTATTTGAGAGGAGCTTTGCATTTGGAATGTTTTTATTTACGTGCATTCCAATTAAGAATTTAAGAGATTGCACTCGAATAGATTCTTCTTTGTTTATCAGTCAAGGGTCTTGAGTTCTGTTTGAGATAGTTTTATTGTGATATAAACTAGAATTACTTCATGTTCCTAATTGTTTGGTATATGTAGTCAGTCTTAGTTGTTTGGTTTCTTTGACTCACGTTAGCCATTTCCTAGTTGTTTGGTTTCAGTTTGAACTAAAAAAATTGGTGTAAAAGGTGCAGAGGCCTTTGGTGTCCCCTCAAGTCAAGAATTGGGGAGATTTGCTTACTTAGGTGGTTCACTATCACTAGAATTAAAATCTCAGGACTTGGATGGGCCTTCGATGAAGTCATGGTAAGGTTGTCCTAAAGATGCTTGGAGTTGGAAGGGTTGGAAGTAACCAGCTAGAGGTAGTGCCAATGTCGTGTTTTGCTTGCAGATTGAACATTCTCCGCCATTCTTTTGATGTACATTTCATCCATTGCCAATAAAGCTCACAATAATCATTTATAAGTTCACAAGAAAACTTGAGTAGCCATCAGAAGTCAGGATCGGAAGAAACTGAAAAGGTAATCCAGGGTAAAGGCGAGACAAATGAGTGATGACTAACCCATATATTGTAGTTCGCCATGAGTCAAGGCTGTAAACATGGTTTAGAGTCTGGACTCTCGATTTTCAATTAGATCACATTACAGGAGCCATATGAGGATTGGTTGCCAGTGCCTCCTACTTTGTGATTTTCTGAAAAGGTATGCATGAATGGATAATGCGTTCTGAGGGAATGGATTGTTGAGATAGTGTACCCGCACCTTTACCCCAACCTTGGCTGAAATTCATTGTATCCTATTATAATTTCACAATCCATAATTGTAATAAGGTCAGTATGGCATAATTCACCTTGATCAGTTTAGAGGATGAAATGACGATGAAGGAAATAATGACACCATATTTGGTTTGAATAGCTAACAGAATGTATTAAAAGGCTCTCGAGGCTTTTGCTTTGAGGCACCTAAAGGTAAGACTCTAACCTTTAGCCTTGAGACTGGCCCCTTCTTTTAACCTTAAGTTTTATACCTCTCGTAGAAGAGGCTTACGCTTCTGTCATAATGCATTGTGGCTTAAAGTTTCTACACCTCATGTAATGATTAGAATAATATTAATTTGCCTCGTCAGGAGTCAGTATGGTTCTTCGTGAAACCAAATATGTTCATGATGAAAAAATGAGATGGTGGAAAGAAGTGAATGTATCATTCAATGGTTTTACATATAGGTTGAAATTGAGATTTAAAGAAAAATATCTGATCCACAACTAGTTCTTATTTTGACATTTTAATTAATTTATGGTCACTTTTATGCTTCATTAGTTATTTGCATTTTGTCCATTGGCAGGTAAAAAAGATGACACTTTATGCTGCAAGTTCAGCTATCAGAGAGATCAGGGAATTGCTGTTAAAGCTTTGACTGAGGTTTGCTGTATTTTTTATGACGTGTGTGATTTTGAGTCTTGAAATTGTGATTCGCTACAATGGTTTTTACAACTCACCTCTCCGATCCCTTGCTTAGCTCTTTCTGGTTCAGTTGAATTATTCCATTGGGATACACGGAAGTAGGTTAAAGAGCTACCTGTTACCTTTTGCTTGTTTTGGTTCATAGTTTGTGGGTGTGCTTGAAATTGAATTTTCATAGCTTACAGTACCATGCTCGCTTATATTAACCTTTCTTGAGCTTCATCTTGAATTCCTACTGTTGATGCTGGCCCAATATTATGGTGTTGGTCCCAACGCTTACTCAGCCTGCTTCTTGCACCAAATCAATCGAATGCAAATATTAGATTTCCTTTACTTTTGGTTCTTGATTGCAACTCTTCTCCGATTATTTGCATTTTCTTCTTTTATCTTTTTATTTATTTTTATTTCTGTTGTATTCTTTTTCTTTCATGTATATACACAATGAGCTACTTAGTTATGGCTGCATGTTATCTTCGGAAACAAAAAAGATTATTTATTCGTCATCTTCTTCTTTGATTCCATCTACATGATATCGGAGCAAGAGCAATATTCTTGTTAAACCTTCTGTTTGAGTTTGTAATCACTATTAATTTTTTTTATTCTTATTTTTATCTGTTTTCTCAGTTCTTTTAGTATATGTACTGAACCCTATCATATTGTGATGCATGCTGTTTACTAGGATTGCCCTACATTTATATGCGGCCTCTGCTTTATTTTAGGGATACTGAAATCAAATATATCCGAATCTTCTTCTTCCCTCTTTTTCTCTGTTTGGTTGTTTCATTATAATCCTGATTGTATGGGTCTTTGGGCGTCTGGTTCAATCATGGCCAAACAACCAACTAATCTCTTGGTCTTGGAATAAATTGCAGAAATTCTTCAAATATCCTTTTGAGTAACACGGAGAAATATAGACGCTTCGATCCTCCCAGTTACCAACCACATACCTCAATGGACAAAATTACTTGCAGTGTTGGTAGGCCGTGATGATGTTTATATGCGGAAAGGTGAGGATAACTACATCTATGGAGCAACTATGAAGTCAGCTGTCTCTTATTCAAGAAGTTGTGGAAGGCTGAAAACAGTAAGCTAATACTTTAGCTAATGAATAAATGAGCATAAATTCCCTACTTTATTGGACAACAAAAGAAATGTGGATGCTGACAAAGAGAACTTCTCGAACTTAAGAACACCTCTTGTTTTAGAAGTTCCAATTTGTTTCCTATGATTTTAGAAGTTTCAACTTGGTTCCTACGATTTGGGCCTCGTTTCAATTTTTTTTTTCTATGGGGTTCAAAGTTTTAACTTAGTTCCTATTGTTTAGTAATACCTCATTGACCTACGTTGTAGTAGACATTTTTTTTTACCTTTCAATGAATTGTTCTTTATTTAGCTGATTGTGATACACTGATAGCTGACAGTGTTAGAATTTCAGGGCTCCGTAAAACATAAATAAAAAAGAAAGATTGGGTTTTCAAGGGTTAAAAATGATTAAAAATGATTACTAGATCGACTTGTGAAATTTAACAAAACTATAAGTACCAAATTGAAAATTCAAAAATCAGAGGGACCATGAAATCTTAAACTACAAGGACCGCCTATACAACAAATACCAAATTTCCGAGATTATGATTGTATGGATAGCTTATCACTCCTTACCTAAAGTGGTTGGGGTAGGATATATTTCTTTATTTAATGAGTTAATTCTTGATATTATTTTGTTTACACCTAAATTAAACTGTAATTCATAATCTATTATCAAGTTTACTGAAATGAAGAAGAATGTTGTTAAGGTTTTCCCACATGCCTCTGAATTTCAGGATTTGAGCTCGGGGGAGAAGGTCGGCAGTGTTAAGGAGTGTGCAGACGGCTACATTCTTAAACTACGAACCCTAGAAGGTTATACAATGATGAGTCTATTGGCTTCTCTATACTTCGTATTCATAATCATAGAGGAATCATGTTTCCACGTTATCATGGTCATCCAATTTTCTATACTTAACTTCAATCTTAATTATTTAATAAAGGCCTTTATTTTTTTTTAATCATAATGAAAAATATAACAACTGGCTGAGTATGTCTAATCCTCATTCCTCCTTGTTAGTATAAAGCTTCCTATCCCTTGTATTTATGTTACAAGTGATACTTGAGAGCTTCTAAAATAAAAAACGTTATTGGATCTAGGTAGTTTGTGTGTATCCCACTCTTGCAGTTACTAGGGTGCTTATGCTTATTCCTAGTACTAAATATTTTGTGCTCATCTCATGGGGTGTGTCCAATAAAAAAGGGTCGTCGTGGGGGTACAATGAAGGTTTGAGATTTATATTTTATCATTTGCAGTGAAATAGTTTGCGTTTTATGTTTCCGCTAGTAGTTTGTTTGTTCTGATGCCTTGGCAATGCTAATGACGTCAAACATCTTACATGATTATAATACTTTATGCTTCTTGCAGCATAACTTAAATTGGCAGTGGCTTGGAAGAACTTGAAGATGAAACCATCTTAGTTACTCATTATACGGATCATGGATGCGAAGTGATTGGAGCATGTTCTAATACCAGTTTTGTGTAACGTCATTGGGCAATGGAAAGGTTTGATGGAAAATTTTGGTGGCTTCTCTTCTGAAATAACATCCTAATTCATGCAGGATGGGTTAAATTTTGCTTCTTATAGGATAGTTTCTGTAATATATAGGGTGAAGCAATTGATGGTAGTCCTCTACATTTACTATGAAACCAAGACTTCAGTATAGGCATGTTCCGATTATGGGGGAAAAAAAAAGGAGAAAAAAACTCTATCACCTGAGGAAATAAGATAGCAACGGTAACAGTGAATTGCTTCAATTTGATTTTACACTCTTGAATGTGATTTTCATACCAGTAAAAGTGATTTTGGATTACTAAATTCATCTTTTAGAGTGGTTTTGACCATGATAAAAATGACTTTAACCATTTCAAAAGCACTTTCAGCATACTTTTAGTTTTCTCATTGATCCGTATATTGTTTAGTTCTGGTGTAGTTGTATTTAGATTATAATGTTTATTTCTGGTCTATTTGGATTTAGATTGTATAGTGGGTAGTCGTAGCCCTATGAACATATTGAAGAGTAATCCCAACCTTCAATTTCACCCCTAAAGATCGTAACTATTTCAGGTTATGCAATCTTTGAGGTATGAACTGAAGCCCTTCTGTACCTGATCTTGCAATTACATATATTCTTTCTTGTATTGGCCGGCAAACGTGAGAACATAAGTTGAATGGCTTAGCTTTAGCTCCGTAGTGAACTCTGCTAGTAAATGCTTGTAGTCGTCTGAGTCGGGGTTCTTCTGATAGATTAATTAATTCGTAATTGGCCCCCACTGCCAAGTATTGCATGTGAACTTTGACCCAACATTGCAACCAACCATCTCTTCTTCTACCCTCTCCCAAGAATTGAGAAGAAAATTTGTCAACAACTAGCAGGTGAATCTTTCTGTAATTTTCATTATTGTACTAATTGATCATCTAATAAGCCCGCTTTGTCATTAAGCATACATGGTAGCCGTAGAGGGGAGTTTTGTGGTAATTTGAGAAAATGGATTTGAGTTTCTGAGGGAATTTAGTGTGCTGAGTGTATTCATGAGAATTAGGAGGATAGAGAAATGTTTTAATATATATAGAAACCTAAAGCTGACATTAATTAGATGCCTTGTTTGGTAGTTGTCTTGTTTTTCTTTCTTGCTTTCATATTGATGAATGGTCACCAACCTTCACATGCCCTTCATCTTTGCATGATTTTACGCTCTCTCTCTCTCTCTCTCTCTCTTGTTTTCCTGTCGAGAGTCTTATTTGTCGTGAAGGACGGATGATGACAAAAGGAGAAGGAAACCTATAATCCTCTTTCTTCATTTCCTTTTTATTGTTTTCTAGACAAAGATATTGATATGCAAAGGACATAGGATCCAAGTCTATTTTCATAAGCTCCAGAGATTTTAGTTTGAATATACTTAAAAATGTTTTTACTAATGAAAATAGCTTGCATACCAGAATCTTTTCATTGTCTAACAAATTTAAGACTTTGGTGGGACAGAATGGCAAAATTAGTTAAATTTATGAGAAATGTCTTTAAATATATTTCAGACCTTGTCTTCAATAATTTATCCCACTGGTTCTGCTTTGAAGTTTGATTACTCTAGGTATTTAAACACAGCTTCCAATTTAGAGTTAATTTTAACCATGGTTGAGGCATTGTGGTAAACAGCTTTAACCCGATTATTGCATATATACATATACATATAGTTTTAGATAAAATATTAAATATTAAATTTGTATTGAAAAGGGTACTCGCCTGTTTTTTGAAGCCAAATAACATAAATGTTTTTTTTTACCCACGTCAATATCACGTAAACCAACATACTCTTTTGGGGCATCAACTCATTTTTAATTTTTTTTTTAGAAAAATAAGAAAGAAAAAGTAAAAATGGGACAAAACAATAAATAATATATTGAAAAAACAAAAAACAATAAATACAATAACAACCATCAACAAGAAAAGTAGGATGGAGAGTAATGGGCAATAATGTAAATTGAAATAACTCACCAAGGGCACTTCCGTCATTTCGCTTACAGTTACTGACTCCCTTTCTCCTCCTCACCCACAGCACTTCCCCCCCCACAATAATAAGCCATCTTTCCATTTCTTGCTTCATGGCGAAAAAAACCAGATTTCAAATTTCACTTCACTTTAATTCCCTATGCTTTCTCCATTATTTATAGTGTCTAAGCTCTGTACAACTTGCAGATCTCTCTCTCTCTCTCTCTCTCTCTCTCTCTCAAAAAATGGTGGCGAAAACCAGTCCATTTCCCTTTATCTTCTTCCTTCTCACTCTTCTCCCTCTCTCCACCGCCTTCTCCGATTTCCAAACCCTAGTCCCCAGACCTCTTCCCACTTCACCTTCCTTCTTAGCCCCGGAATCCACTGAGGGTTCCGACTCCTTCTCATCTGAGGCCACAGAATCGGAGCCTGGTTTAGCATTGCACCTTCACCATTTGGACTCCCTCTCTCTCAGCCGAACGCCGGAGGAGCTCTTCCATCTCCGCCTTCAAAGGGACGCTCTCCGAGTCAACAAGCTCAGTTTACTTGCTGCTGCCTCTCGAAATGTGAGCCGAGCGAGTGGGACTGGGTTCAGTAGCTCCGTGATCTCCGGACTCGCTCAGGGCAGCGGTGAGTACTTCACGCGCATCGGCGTCGGCACTCCGCCCAGGTATGTTTACTTGGTGCTCGACACCGGCAGCGACATAGTTTGGCTACAGTGCGCTCCTTGCAAGAATTGCTACTCTCAGACCGACCCGGTTTTCGACCCGGTTAAGTCTGGATCCTTCTCCAAGGTTCTCTGCCGGACGCCGCTGTGCGGCCGGCTCGAATCTCCGGGGTGCAACCAGCGGCAGACGTGTCTCTACCAAGTTTCTTACGGCGACGGTTCCTACACCACCGGCGAGTTCGTCACCGAAACCTTGACCTTCCGGCGCACAAAAGTGGAGCGCGTAGCCCTAGGTTGCGGCCACGATAATGAGGGATTGTTCGTTGGTGCGGCTGGGCTTTTAGGGCTGGGCCGGGGAGGGTTGTCGTTTCCTTCGCAAACCGGCCGGGCTTTCAACCAGAAATTCTCCTACTGCTTGGTGGACCGGTCCGCCTCTTCCAAACCGTCCTCCGTCGTGTTCGGCAACTCCGCCGTGTCTCGAACCGCCCGGTTCACTCCTCTCCTCACAAACCCCAGACTGGATACGTTTTACTACGTCGAACTTCTAGGGATCAGCGTTGGAGGTAGGCCCGTCTCCGGCATCTCCCCTTTACATTTCAAGCTCGATTCGACCGGTAATGGCGGAGTCATCATCGATTGCGGTACTTCTGTGACTCGGTTGAACCGACCGGCGTACATTGCCCTCCGTGACGCCTTCCGTGCTGGAGCTTCGAGTTTGAAATCGGCGGCGGAGTTTTCTCTCTTTGATACTTGCTACGACCTGTCCGGGAAGACGACGGTGAAGGTCCCAACGGTGGTGCTGCATTTCAGAAACGCCGATGTGTCGTTACCGGCGTCCAACTATCTGATCCCGGTCGACGGCAGCGGGCGATTCTGCTTCGCCTTCGCCGGAACGACCAGTGGGCTGTCGATCATCGGCAACATTCAGCAGCAAGGATTTCGGGTGGTGTACGATTTGGCAGGTTCTCGGGTGGGATTCTCTCCTCGTGGTTGCGCCTAGTTTCGTCGAGGCAACGAAACGCGGTGGCCGGGGAAATCCTCGGCCGCAAAACAAAACCCTTCCCCCGGATGAAAAAAAGAAAAAGAAAAAAGGGTAAGCAAAGATGGAGCCCTGGGGAGAAGAAAAAGGAGAGTCCAACGGCGTCGTTTAGCTTTGACTAGTTTAATATTGATTTGGTTTTTGTACGTCTTTGTGTTTTCCTGTGCTTATTTTAATAAATTTATGTATGGGAATTTATTTAACTCAATTATCAAGGATGCATATTTATAAATGTTATAAAGAAAAACATACAGTAACTAACGTCGTCGTTTAGTTGGGATGATGCGTCATTTCATTTCATTTGGGTGTTCACATTGCGAGCAAGGAATTCATAACTGAATCACCCAGCTCCATGATTTATGGAAACCCATCCTCATTCCCAGATCTCGGAGGAACCCGATGAGGAAGAAGCCTGAGTCAGGAGCAACGGGTACGCACAGTTCAATCCAACTTCTGACTTTGAATTGCGAATTTCCTGATCATACTCAGATTTGCGGTGGTGATATTCCAGGACTCAGATTGACGAGAAGCCAGAGTGAGCGAGAGAATTGGGATGAGCCAAGGGGAGTGAATAATATATAACTAACATAATCTCGGCGGCGAAAAGGATTGCAAGGGACATGGAGATCGGGAACACTGTGGCTGGTTCCGAGTTGGTAATTGAAGTGTAGTTTTGTGGAGGCTCTGTTCCTTGTATTTACCAGGTTTCCAGGAGTTGGGTTCACTTTCAAAAGATCTAATTTATAGGAAGGATTACATTAACAACAACTTATGCGCACTGTAGCCAAAGAAAGATCAAAATCAAAATCTCCCATTACCCAACTGGTTTTGGCGTTACTGTTTCTTCAGAAGGGGAGCCTCAGCTCAATGTGGATCAAACAAACACTGGAAGAAGTGGAGGAACAAATCACCCCAATCTCATCCACGGAACTTCTTATGGAGACGGACATCTTCTTCACCATGATCCCACTCACGAATTAAGGTACCAACTGCTTCCGCCGCCTCATGTTGTGCGAACCCAAACATTTTGAGGAGCTTTGTACTACATCAAGCCTTCGGACCACAGCTATTCACTCCCCTCTCCACAAACCTGGGAAATGCTACTGTCATGTCCCTGTAAGCAAATGCCTTATATCTTATGACACCATTATGACAACCCACCAATACATATGTAGATGAATGATTTGAAACATACATGAGATATGGAAGAGTCATATGCTTTAGTAGAGAAGGATTCTGTTCTGCATATGCTTTCCACTCTTCCTCGTCAATCTTACCATCTCCCTTTGCATCTGCTTCACTAAAACTCTGCAAACAGAAGCAATCTCAAGTTTTGGGGACGGACAGAAACTATCAAAACACTCATACCCTCATCATACTTACCTTGTCCACAATCGTTTCGACTACATCGACAGGCAGAACTAGATCGGATTCACACAGAAGAGCCAACACCATCTCTCTCAGCTGTATCCGATACAAACCTTTACTTTAATCCTCTAAATGTATCATTAATTCATTTGCAAGATAGCAAGTTGTAGTTTCAGTCTGGGATTTAATAAGATTTCTTTTACCTCTTCACGCTCAATGAAGCCAGTGTGCCTAAGATCATACAGCTTAAATGCATCTGGAAATTGCATATTGAATCAGTCTTTTTAACTTTCAAGAAGGCATACTTCAAAGGAAGCGAGAAAGCACGAGCTAGAGGGGAAAGGAGAAAGTATGGAGAAATGTTAAGCAAAATGGTAGAAAACACACAGAGTCATATCCATGTTCTTACGTGCAATCTTGACTGCCTTTGGAGTGTTGGGATGAAAGACAGTCAGTGTCCCAACAAACTCCTCAAACCCAATTCGTCCATTTTTGTTGGCATCAAACAGATCAAAAATCTGCAAAACAAACCAGAAAAACTAAGTCAACTGTTTGTACAAGGTTTTTGAGAGATTAAAAAACATGTCATACATACCCTGTCCAAAAAGAGGTTCCTTTGGTTCACATTATTGAAGATTGCAAGCCGAAGTTCTTCCTTGTAAATAAAAGAAAGAAAGAAATGAAATCAGAATCACAGCAAAGATGAAGTCACATAGAGAGAAGAAGATACCCTGTGTATGAGGCCGTCTTTGATTACGGAATCGCTCAGTTTCTGAAATAGCTTATGCAAATACTCAATCTCCCTCTCTGAAACTGCCAACAGAGATTCAGAACAACCAAATTAGGACAAGAAATCAAATGACATAAGAAATAGATGGACAATAAAAGAGAGCAGAGAAGCTTAGAGACAGACAAGGGGTATCAGAAGCAAGAGCAGAGCGGTCATGCGAGGAAGAAGGAGCTGGTTTTGAGGTATTGCAACCCATCGTGTTTAAACTAAGGAATCGATCATCATCATCCTCATCGCTATTGTTGACTTGTGCAGCAACCAGACATGGCTTTTATTCATCCAAATCCCAATTCCCAACGAGCTGAACTACAAATCGTTGACTTTGAGTTTCAACTTAGACCCACTTTGTACTTTGCCGTTATGGGTGAAAGTTAAAAATGGTCAAACGATTGAACTGCAAGTCTTGGCTCTCCTCCATAATTCGTGGATTAACTGTGATACGTGTGATTATGTGCTGTTGCATCTATGATTTTTTAATAGTTTAATGAATTGATGACTATATATATTTAGTGGGTAACTTATATGAAACACAAAGTAATTTTTAGAATAAGTGATTTCAAAGTTCACAATAATCAACTCGTTGAGCTAAAAGCACTTCATAAAATGAAAAATTGAGTGAAGAAGTACTTTTCCATGGATGCAAAAAACAGAACATGCTCTGTTTTCCTTCGTTGGTAGAACAAAGAAGAAAGCTATGCTCTTAATTAATCGACTTGTTGATGCCATTTATGAGCCATAACGCAAACAAATGGGCCACTTCCACAGTGAAAAGGGTTGAATTCCAAAGAAGTTGAGTTCAATATGGAATCATGGAACCCTGACAAAAGAACCAAGCGACCGCAATGCCTAGCAGAGCACCAGCAAGGACCTGCGATGGCGTGTGGCCAAGCAGCTCTTTCAGCTTTCTTTTGCTTATGGGATGCCCTTGAAACAAGTCCTCAACGATAAGATTAAGAACCTGCATCCACCCATTTCCAAATATTTCACTACAAATCTTTGCAGCACTAAACCTTATGCCTTATTCACTGAGGAAGCAACTTTGATGAAAACACCTAAACTTAGCAACTACGAAGAATTTCAGAGCAGATTTCATGGAAACTTGCAGGAAATGATGTAAAACAAACAAGATTTAGTACCTCAGCTTGCATGCCGGCATGTCGACGAACGCCAATAGCATCGTACATAACAATAAGACTAAACCCCAAGCAGACAGGAAAAAGGGAGTCCGCTACGCCATGACAAAGAGCCACCGAAGTCGTCAAAGCCGTGCACAATGCAGAGTGAGACGAAGGCATCCCACCACAACCAAACATTATTTTCAAATCCCATTTCCTTTCCACGAAAAAGTTCAACAAAACCTTCGTCGATTGTGCAAAGAACCACGCGAACAACCCCGAAACAAACGTCGGGTTCGTCGCCAATGTAGCAACGAACGGACTAATCCGATGCTTCGCGGTTGCGGTTATGCTTAACAAAGCAATCCCGAAGCTCCCACTTTGTAAGTAACTTCCATTCAATCCCCCATCTACAAATCTCTCTGAAACACTCTGAGCTTTGTGGGTTTTGGACAACACAACGCCTTTGATACTTTGCAGCACGGGAACCAAAACCCAGAAGAGATTCGAACCAAAACTGCGATCACCGCCTTCAGATTTCTGGTTCGTAGTTGTTGGACGATTGGTACAAGACAACTTATGGGGAAACCTTCGAAGCCTTTTGAATTGATTAAACCCAAAAGCCAAGAAGTTGGTGGAAAAAGACCTGGTAGGTCGTGGGTAGCCTTTGAAGATGAAGGGACTCGATATAAGACCTAAACTGAGAGTTTCCATAAGAAGGGGCTCTGTTTTCTGAGTTCAACGAGCATTTCAGGTGGAAAAAGGACGAAATGGAGCAAAGACTTCTCGTGAATTTGAATCGTTGTGCTGTTTAGAACATTGGACAGCCTTCTAAAATAGACTTTCTTCAACTTTACAAGTAAAAAACGAACTGTTCAAGCTTGGATTTCACAATGGCGAGTTACACAATCTCGCTACCAAGTAAAATGCTCTTTTGATGCTGAATTATTGATAACAATTAGGACTTTTAGAATCGTGAAGAGGCGGAAAGAGACAATGGGGCCGGCGTGGGGGAAGTTTCAGCAAAAAGAAACATAAGAGAAGCAGGGATCACCAATTTGTGAGGGAATATGCGGCGGTATCCTTTCTTGAATTTCCTCGTGAGACAATGGTTCTCAAAGCATATGCCAATCTTTTATCATCACCACATCCATATATTTTGAACATACATGTATTTTTTCTTTTTTAGCTTACTTTGGTCCTAGTTATCGTTCAAATTTTGAGATTGTCTTTCAGGGAGGTCGTGCAAAGAGAAGGTTAGAATGTCACTATGCATTTCTTGACTAGATAGTACCCTATGTGAGGTCAAGTGAATTCAATAATAAATGTACTGACTGTTTCGATCTAATATGTTTTTATAGGCATCAATGATCTTTCAAATCCCAATGTCTTGACTCGTGCGAGATCTAATCTAATTGGCATAAACAGCTTCAAAAGGTATCTACTCCTTTCGATCGAGAGCTTGATTCAAACGGCTCTCAAGGAAAAGGTTGATTCAAAAAATAAATCATGAAGATGCTAGTTTCAATTCCTTCAACTTTACACCACCTTCTCTTTATCTCTTTTTAGGACATCCAAAAGTGCAACCTTTTTGGATAATTAGACACATTGTTGGAAGGTTTGATGATATTATTGAGCTGTGGAAAGTAGCCAACGCCTAATTATGGTATCTTCCAACACAAAACAAGCCAACCTCTTTGAACTTTTGAAATATCAAGCACTTCCTCAAATTGTATTATATTAAAGTTAATGAATTTATGAAGATTTGCCAAGTTCATATAGCTTGCAGGTTCACAAAAGGAAGAGTTTTGTTATTCATGGAAGAAGAGTTCATAGATGAAAAGAGGCTGTAAAAAGAAGGAAAATGGGAGGTGGGGTTCGCGGGAAATGATGATCTTGCTATCAATTACCAACCACTGTCCCAAGTAGCTATCACCACCACGAACCAACTAACATTTTTTCAATCAATCCATCCTTAGAACCCAAGTTACTGCAACCCTTCAACCGCCTCCCATTCTCCCTTTCAGCAATCTACTCTTCTCCTTTCATTTGTTCTTCATCGTCTTCAACTCCATTTCCTCCCATCATTCATTACTCATCTCAATCCCACCTTCAAAAGCCCTTCTCCTAATGGCAAAAAGGGGTTTTCTGATACCCCTACCCAAATCTGTTATTGGGTTCTGTTTTGTACTCCTTGTTTTGAACCTGCAGCCGCCGTCCATGGCGGCCGATGACGATGAGGATGATTATGTAGAAGTAGATAGCAGCAGCGGCTACGACGGTTATAGCGGTGGTGTATCGGAGCAATGCGATACTGATTTGAGGAGCTTTCTTCCACCACCGTATGGTAATCTAACCAATGTCATCTGCAAACCCATCTGGAATACATTTGTATTACGGGTAAGTTCGATTTGAATCTGTAATGGTTTCAATGTTTTGGAAATAAAGAAAAGGAAACTTGAAGGATTTTTGCGTTGGATTCTGCAGTATACACAAAATGAAGAACGTGTAATGAACATCATCGTATCAGCTTTATACACAACTGGGTGGGTGGGGATTGGGTTTTCTAGAGATGGGATGATGGTGGGATCAAGTGCAATGGTGGGATGGGTAAACAAGAAAGGGCATGCAAGAATCCACCAATACTATCTGCAGGGAAGAAAGCAATCAGAAGTAATTCAAGACAAAGGCGAATTGCCTCTCACTAACGTTCCTTCCTCGGTTGTGTTGCATGGTGCCACCATTTACTTGGCATTTCAGCTCAAATTCAGTGCCATGGTTTCTCAGCAACCGATTCTCCTGGCTTTTGGGAATGCTTATCCCAGACACAATCATTTATCTGCTCATAGTGATAAAACTGCTGTTGTTTTTGACTTCTCTGCAGGTTTCCTTTGCTGCCCATATCAAAATTTGTCTGTTAAACTGTTTGTTTTAATACGAGTTTCTATTATTGCTGTTTGACACAGGATCCAAGTCTTCAGCAGCAGCAACAGCAGGCAGTGACATTGGGCAGACAAAGAAGAACCATGGTGTGTTGGGGATAATTGGATGGGGCCTCATCCTTCCAGTTGGAGCGATCATTCCCAGGTACTTCAGACATAAGGATCCTCTTTGGTACTATCTCCATTCGGTGATTCAGGTTGTGGGCTTTGCCATTGGCCTTACTACTGTCTTACTTGGAAGACAACTTTACAACAAAATGAATGCCAACGTACCAACTCATAGGGGCATTGGTATCTTTGTCCTTGTGCTCAGCATTCTCCAGGTCTGTTTCAATCTCTCTGTTTAGGCCCAAACCCAACTTACTTGGATTAGAACCATTAAATATCTCTTTTAAGTGCACTTGTTAATACACATGAGACCATCATCACTAACAGCTTCTCATAAGAACATACATTTAAAAATCAGAGGTTTCAAAGCATATAATTGATATCACCAATGGTTTGGTGGGTCGGGGGAATTCAGGTACTGGCATTCTTTTTGAGACCCAACAAGGAAGCTAAAATCAGAAAGTACTGGAACTGGTATCACCATTGGTTTGGAAGGATTGCTCTGTTTTTTGGAGCATTGAACATAGTGTTGGGAATTCAAATTGGAGGTGCAGGAAATGAATGGAAACTAGGCTATGGGTTTCTTCTTAGCATGATACTTATTGCAGTGATTGTCTTGGAAGCATTGGCATGGGTGAAAAGATCAGATAAAGCTGCCATGAATTCATTTCAGATGAATCCTTCACCATAATTAACCATTGTTTCAGGTCTGTTCTTGTTCTTACATCAATCATTCGTTTCAAAATATGAGTGCATTTCCCTATTTACGATATTAAACTAACCTCATGGTGATGCTAAAATCTGCCTTTTCAGAATCAGGAAACAGAAGATTGATATAATTTGAAGTTCATTGAGGGCTGGATCCTAGTAGAACGTTAAGTTCTTCTATATTGAGCCGAAACCTTTCAACGACGAAGCTCTCTCGATCATCGCCGACGATTACATTAGTTAATATGTTTGTCAAATAGGAAATTGATGGTGTTTGTTTTCCCAACTACAAGTTTTTGGAGTGGCGAATCGTTTGCAGGATGAAGAAGAAGCCTTTGTATTGTTAAGTGTTAACTCTGTTTCAGACGATATTCAGACGATCAATGCATTTTTGTAAAGTATGGAAACAGATCTCTGTGTATCAATCATCAATGCTGCTTAAATTTTCACCATTCTCATCATCTCACTTCTTCTGCTAGGTATGAAAGTAATTTAAGAACAGTTTTCTGTTACAGTTCACAAATTCCAGGTTTATTCCCAAAATGGAGAAAGAATAGTGGATGAGTTTGGAACAATGGTATAG